AGCAGGAAACCCCTTTTCTTAAACCAGTTACAATGGCAGTATTCATTCATCGTTGTAATTCTAAGAGATTTCCAGCGCCGCAACAAATATCTTTTGGCACGTTCACGCGCGCGCGCACACACAATGTTGTTAAAACCTGTCTCACCGCGTAAGCCGCCCTTGCGTAGCATTCTAATACAGCAACGCGGAAGAATATACGTATAGAACTAGTCCCAGATTTCTAGTTGTTTTTGCAATAGATTTGCAATTAAGCTAATGTAAGCAATGTATAGCTATTCAACTTTGATAATTGTCAATATGGGCAGTATACATAATAGCCGCAATACCCAGTTTTAAAAGATTCGTAACGTCAACTGTAGCAGTGACCTTAACACGACCTTGCCTGTTACACGTAAAGAAGCACTCTGGAAACTATTTATTAAATAGTAACTCAGCACTGTGTCTGTACCTTTCGGGTCGAAATCTTACAACATGCGCAAATCAGTCAGTCAATACTTCCTGATTAAATTAATTGATTCAGGTTTGACCCAACGCGAAATTTCGCTTCCCTGCAGAATTCTATTATACTACCGATTACGACAGCTTGCGAGAGTCCCTGTAAATGAAACAGAGTCATTTAATTATTTATTTTAGATATCTCTGTGGAGTGCGACATGGAGAGGAACAGAATGGCCGTGACCTTGACGTTCGAGCGAGACTTTGACGGCATCCTGTACACGAAGGGTTTCTTCAAGATTGACGAATGCCGCCACACGGCGCCACCGTCTCGATTCCAGAGGTTCGACATTTCGCTGGACAAGTGTGGCATGCAGCAGAAATCATCGGTAAGTGATCATCACGTGGCGTGGATATCGCAACATCTTCCCAATGACGAAGGCCGATGATAACTAATATATGATATGATATATACTCGCAGCTTCGTGGCGACACAAATGTTTTAAACTGATTCTAGCATTAGCTCACCGCAAACCCCAGCAAATTGTTATTACTATTTACATAAAATAATGGCAATAAAATGTATGAATTTCGAAATTATTCTCTGAAATTTTGCTAGCAAATATATATAGAGATTTTAAGAGATTTTTTTTAGAGATTTTTATAGAGATAATAGTTTATAGTTTCATAGAATAACTTTTGTCACCAGCGGGTAGGCTGGTTACTTTTGTCACCAGCGTGTAGGCAGGTAACTTTTGTCATGAGCGTGTAGGCTGGTAACTTTTGTCACCAGCGTGTAGGCTGGTAACTTTTGTCATGAGCGTGTAGGCTGGTAACTTTTGTCATGAGCGTGTAGGCTGGTAACTTTT